CATGTATTTAGTTATTGATATGAAAGTTTGAACTCTAATAAAAAAAATGATTATCAAACCAGAAAAATTTTGTTAACGCAAGTTTTCACCTCCCAGAACATGAGAATTTATAAGAAGGTGTAGAAAAAAATTATTACTTGTGTTTTTCTCGTCACTTGGCGTCCGTCGTCCGTCGTCGCCTCTTGTCTTCTGTCGTCGTTAACTTTTACAAAAATCTTTTCCTCTGAAACTACTGGGCCAAATTTATATAACTTGGCCACAATCATCATTGGGGTATTTAGTTTTAAAAGATGTGCCCAATGATCCCACTTGCCAACCAAGATGGGCGACATGGCTAAAAATAGAAGGTAGGGATAAAATGGAAGTTTTGTCTATTATTTTGAAAACCTTTATAATTAGAGAAAATCTGACACAGCTTAAATGTTCAGAATGTTGAGCTCTACCAATTGTTCTATACGTAAAAACTGTCAGACGACTACTTATAAGAGTTATTGTCCTTAAAAGACAAATTTTACCATTTTTTTTTTCATTTTTGCCTATTATCTTGAAAACTGTAATTAATAGACAATACTTTTTTTAAAGGAGATACTTTAAATTGCAAAAATGATAAGCAAAACAAGTTCTACAAATAAGTCTACATTGTCGAAATAGTCAGTGTACACCTTATTAGGCTAGAGGTATAGGGGGAGGGTTGAGATCTCATAAACATGTTTAACCCCGCCGCATTTTTGCGCCTGTCCCAAGTCAGGAGCCTCTAGCCTTTGTTAGTCTTGTATTATTTTTAATTTTAGTTTCTTGTGTACAATTTGGAGTTTAGTATGGCGTTCATTATCACTGAACTAGTATATATACTTGTTTAGGGGCCAGGTGACCTTCTGCTGTTGTCTGTTCTATGGTCGGGTTGTTGTCTCTTTGACACATTCCCCATTTCCATTCTCAATTTTATTGTCCTTTGATGACGATTTTTACCAATTTTTTGCCTTATATATAAATATCTTTAAAATTATAATAGATAGATAAAAACTTATATAAGCAAACATGATCAGCAAGACAAGATCTACAATTTATACATATTGGGAGAATCGTCAGACGACTCCTTATTGGAGTTATTGCCCTTGAATGACAATTGTTACCATTTTTTTTGCGTTTAGCCTTATATGATAAAAATTATAATAGATAAATAGAGACTTTAAATCACAAATATGATCAGCAAGGCAAGATCTACTAACAAGTCAAATTTTATAGATATAGTTATATAATAATAGAGTGTCACTCTTTATAGGAGTGATTGCTCCTAAATGAGATTTTTTACCCTATTTTGTGTTTTGGGCAAAAACTAAAAAAGACAGAGAGAAACTAAACAGACTTAAGTATAAGTAATCCAAGGTCAACAAAACAGATATTTTTGTCATGAATTCTATTCTTATCTACAATGTTGGAGAGTGTCCTTTGTTGAATATGCACATAGACCAAGGTGAGCGAAACAGGCTCTTTAGAGCCTCTAGTTAGTGAATTTTGAGAAAAGATTAAGGGGAGATTATTCAAACCTTAATTGAAATGAAATAAAAATCTTACAAATTTACTTGAAAAAGTAAATATTGGTAACTTACGTCTTCAGGTAAATAAACATGAGTTCTATAAGTATTACCCCTGACTGCCAGTAATGAGTACTTTTTTACATAATCAATTCTAACATGACGTTCTTCATACGCTTTGAGTACACACCCGTGGTAAAATATGAATATATTTTTTGGGCTGTTCCGATCGTACTCCCACGTCATATGCTTTTTTATGAATGAGCTACCCGACGTCATACAACGATGACGTAAGAATATGAGGATTTTACGGGAAAATACACGCTTGTGAAACCGAAAATCTTCACAACAAGGAAACGTAAACAAACGATGCTAAAATGTGTTATATAAGCCATTTTTGGTATACATATAAGACATACAAGTACAATTATCATTTAGATTCATCCAAACCTATCTAAATATGTTATTGTAAATAGTTTAAGCATGTCATTTATTCAGTTTGCTCCGGTCTTTTACGTCAATTTAATAGTGCTTTTATTTATGGGAACGGCAAATAATGCTTTCATCTAGAGCGCTTCGATCCAAAACAATTGCCGTATTTGTCCTATTAGAATCGAAATAATTCATGGGGGCTTGAATATATCGTGATTTTACAACGGGTTGTCTCTTTATGCCTATATTTTACCCCTCGCTATCGCTCAGGGTAAAATATTTGTCATAAAGGGCCAACCCGTGGTAAAATCACGATATATTCAAGCCCCCATGAATTATTTCTTAAGCAACCGCGTAAGACTTAAAAATAGTGTGATGTATTAGCCAATCAAAAAATTTATTGATCGCAATAATTAGCATATACGACAAAATTTTGCAAAACCTCAATAGTATTTGTTTTAACCTATTACTGGTGAAATTTCATTAGAAACAATATTAGCATTGGATTATTTTAGATATCACCATTTTTATGTCCCTGCCGTAGCGGAGGGTGCATTCAGTTTTACCCTTGTCCGTCTGTACGTCCGTACGTCCGTACGTCCCAAAATTCGTTTACATTCTCTAATTTTAGTTTGCGTCAACCAAATGCTATGAAACTTATACACAATGCTCATTACCACAAAACACAGATCAAGTTTGAATTTGGGTGCCATCACTTTTACCTTTCTAGAGTTATGCCCTTTTACAAATTTATGGAAAATTTGCTGAATTTTTAGTTTCATTATATGCAAGCGGCGGCATCATTCGTGTACAATGGACACATTCCACATTTATTTTATAATTATCTTAAATCTCAATGTCAAACCTTTGGTGTCAAGGAAAAGAGGCTTATAACATGGTAAGATCTGAATTGAGTTTTGCATGCAATATTAACATTACTTATATCTTAATTCATTTAAACATGGATGCATGTAATATCATAAGCATGGTTGTTAATTATCAGCACGTCATATTTTCCGTATTTTGTCAATCTTTTCAATGCACAGGTCAAGTAATTAATTTATTATATACATATATAAAAAACGGCTTGTCAAATTTCGGCTGATTGAGAATAGGGTAGGAAGTATATAGTTTTTATGTTTTGGTTTTGTCCATCAAGCAACATGGCTGCAGCTGTCATGGTTAGAAATAAAAAGTAAGGGATAATATCAAAATAGTTAACTTAAATAGTTTGAAAACCATAATAACCAGAAAATCTATCAGGGCAAAAGTGTTCAGAATGTCAAGATCTTTAACTCTTTTTCCATCAAAATTATTAGACTACTCCTCATAGGAGTTATTGCCCTTTTTTCTCGCCTTGATGGAGTCAAACCCCGGGACTTAGGTATGCTGTTTCCAGCCGCATCAACAATTTGTTAAAGTTTGTAATTAGGTCAGTTTACATGGTTTAACGGGAACTAATTATCATAAGTCAATGATATTTGGTATGCAGCTTTAAGCATTGACATATCTTGTTTCCATGGAGATTACTTGTCCCTGCTTCCTCTGTCATAGTCTATTGAATTTGAAACTTTAAAGTAGTTTACAGGTTAAAGTTTGTGATAAGGTCAATTTGAGTGGAACACTGATGATAAGGCAATGATATATGGTATGCAGTTACAAACTGTATGTAAGAGTAGTTGGCCCTGCCCTCTCAGTCAGGGTCTATTAACTTTAAAACTTTTGCTTGGTTTACATGTTAAAGTTTGTGATTAAGTTAGTTTTTGGGGAACCGCTGATGATAAGTCAATAATATTTGGCATGCAGTTGTATTTACTTAGCATTGGCATATCTTATTTCCACAGAAATTATTTAGCCATTACAAGTCATGGTTCGTTGAATTATTGCTATTTTAATTTCAACATTCGCAGTTTTACTATTAAAATAGCATATAGGCAAGACATATCTCTGTGTCAACAGTCTATTCCTCATTTCTGTGTTTCTGGCAATTATCATCAGCACTTTAATATATAGACATAAGACAGAAACTGTAATCAGTAAAATTGATCAGCATATATATTTAGCTCTCACAAACATGTTAAACCCTGCCACATTCATTGACATTCTTATTTGCATGATATGTGTCATGTTTGTGCTTGTACCAAGCTAGGAACCTGTAATCCAGAAGTTGGCCTTGTCTGGTATTATGCTATATTCATTTTACGTTTGTTGATGTATAAATATATGTGACAGTAGTTTATCGATGTTTAAATCTTGTAAATTGAATAAAAAGAGAGAGACGAAGTTAACCACACAGACACTGAGGGAATGTCATGAACTCCAAAAAGTGCAAGACCGGGTACATGTATGTCAACAGGATAAGTGTCTCCTGCAATGCTTACATCACCTGTCATGTGAATTCACAATCAGACAAAATGTCGCAATCGGGAAAAGGACACAGTCGGATAAATTACAGATCAGATAACTGTATTGGAATCTTAAAAAATGACGTGCATTTAGACAAGATCAACTTGTATGTCAACAAAGACTTAACTGTCAGTAAATGTCTTATACTTATTTTTTGTGTTTTGGGCTTCAACTTCAAGAAATAGAATAAAAACTGTGAACAGAAAAAATGTTACCCAAAAAAGATCTAGAAAAAGGAGATTTAAAGTCATGAATGAGGGCCTGGTGAAATGTACAGAATTTATAGAAAATAAGAGGTCAAATCTACAGAAAAACAGACATAAAAAAAGAATAGGAGACACAAAAAAAAAGAATAAGGAAAAAATGGGAAAAAAATAAAAAGAATAATGGGTGCTAAATGATATAAAAAATAGAGAATAATAATTGCATTTTATGAATATAAATGATAGCAATAATTGATTGCATAATGACAAAATATTGGATGATGATATACTAGTACTATATATATGTGTATTCACAAATTTTTATTCATGGTTTTATATTTAATCTTTAGAAAATATTCTGATCTGAAAAGTTATCCCGAAGTGAAGCCATGAGCTAAGATCCAAACATTTGTATGAATAGCTTAGGATCAGGAACAAAAGAAAACTATATATTTAAGAAAATGGCATCTAGACTTTCGCGAGAGGAAGAAAACTATGTCAGGATGTGATTTTTGATGACAGGAATATCTACTCGTGCAGCAAGAATTGTATTTGATCGTGAATTTGCTCCATCATGTTTGGATTCTACACTGAAGAGAGAGACAAATAAATTGAGAAAACTTCAAAATGAAGGAAATATAAACCAGTTCCAGTGGAATTGCCTGTTCCGGAATAAACCTGGTAAGTTCGGAAAGCCATTTATATATCAATCAGAGTAAAACCTCATAGTTCTTCTTAGATTTCCTGGTAACTTATTTAAGCTGAAATGGAAACTCCTTTTCCCTAATTTTCTGGTAGGTTACGAGAGACATGTGATATGTCAGTCACAGTCATGAATCTCCTGTTCTCAAGATTTCCTGGTATATGTTACAAGAGCAATGTGATATGTCAGTAACTGTGGAACCTCCTGTTCCCAAGATATTCTGGTATATGTTACGAGAGACATGTGATATATCAGTCACAGTAGCACTTCTTGTTCCCAAGATATCTTGGTAAATGTTACGAGACATGTGATATATCAATTACAGTGAAACCTCTTGTTCCCAAGATAACCTTGTATATGTTACGAGACACATGTGATATATCAGTCAGAGTGGAACCTCTTGCTTCCAAGATATCATGGTACATATATGTTATGAGAGACAATTGATATGTCAGTCACAGTGGAACCTCTTGTTCCTAAGATATCCTGGTATGTTGTGAGAGACATGTGATATATCAGTCACAGTGGAACCTCTTGTTCCCAAGATTTCCTGATATGTTGTGAAAGACATGTTATATTTTAGTCAATGACAAACATTATCAGCAGACTTTAATATGAAACTTTTGTGTTACTGTAACTTTATATAGTAGTTCTAGCGTAGCATTTTTTATCTCGTCTGCATCGAAAGTCGAAGAAAGCGAAACATAGGGATTACAATCCAGTGGTGTAAACTATTTGTATAAAGCTTTATATATCAGAAGGTGGAAAAACCTGGATGCTTCATACCTTGAGTACAGATACCATATATAACGAAGTTTCCGTCTGTCATAAGTCCATTGTCCTTGATCTTATTTTCATGGTTTAGTGACTGCTTGAAGGAAAATTGCAGTTTTATTGTCCCCTGCAACTTGTCCCCCATGCGATGCCTTGCTGATTACATAGAAATACGCGTACGGGGCGTCCGACTGTCTGTCTGTCCATCCGGTCTTGTTAGCACTTTCACGTGTACAATTCTTGCCAGATTTTTAAAAAACTTATATCATAGGTTTATATCAGCAATGTCCCTGACAAGTTCAAAAATCAGTGCCAATCAAATATTTTTAAAAGAGTTATGCCCCTTGGAAATATTAATTAAATGGAAAATTGCATTGGTAGTGCTCTTATGTGTACAATTTTTGCCAGATTTTTATCAAATTTATATCAAAGGTTTATATCAGCAATGTTTCAGACAAGTTCGAAAATCAGTGCTAATCAAATATTTTTAAAAGAGTTCTGCCCCTTGGAAATATTAATTATATGGAAATTTGCATTGTAAGCACTCTCATGTGTACATTTTTTGTAAGATTTTTTTATCTTTTTATTCAAGGTTCATATCCGCAATGTCTCAGTCATTCTCGAAAATCTGTGCCGATTTACAATTTTTAAAACAGTTATTCCCATTGGAAATATTAATTTTATGGAAAATTGCATTTAATTGTTAAAGCTCTCGTGTATAATTTTTACCTGTCTGGCATGGTTTATGTGACCGTGACCTCATATTCATAGAACATTGACAATGTTGAGTTTATGTGATACTTGCATTCAAACCTTCATATAACAGACTTTCAGCTTTAATTTAATGATAGTTAAACAGGCAAGACATTTCAGCGTGTGCACTCTTGTGTCTCCATTAACTTGATCCGTATATATATATGTTACAGGCATTTTCTAAATTTAGGCATTTTGTAAAATGACTGAATTTTCAGGCAATTTATAAAATGCCTAACCTTGACAGGCATTGTATAAAATGACTAAAAATACCTGGTCATTATGTAAAATGACTGAAATTTTGAAACAAAATTCAACAAATTGCCTGTTTAATTTCAGGCAATTTGTAGAAAAAAGATATCATTGAGATGCATATGACAAAAAGTGGACAAAAACACAACATCTTGCAAAGAAAATAATTAATGGTTCGGTAGAATTAATTTATTTTTCAAAAACCAGCTGGGAAAGTTTGTTCTTTTTAGTGAAACTACGTTAGGTATGTACTCACTCTGTATTTTTAGATAGTAAATTTATGATTATTTTGTCAAAATGGCAGAAGGACAAATTGTTCTTTTAATAGAACAAAATTTACAAACGAATTTTTAGAAAATCGAATCAAAACAGTGAAGTGAAACATATGAAGCTGAGAAAAAATAGTTTGTTTTTAATTGACTGATTGATTTGCTTGCTTTCAGTAGCAAATATTTCATGCATTTTTAAGACGAAAACAATTTGGTTATAATTCATATGAGTTATTTCAGCAGTGGATTAACTTGGACAAAGGACAGAAATGTCGACTGCCGCTTGAAATGAAGGTATTTTGGATAGGGACAGAAAATTCCACCTGTAGAACGGCCAAAGAGTTCTTAACGTGCAGAGAGTGTTGCACTTTACTAACATGTGGCAATATATTTAATGTCCCCATTCAGAAAAGAATGAGAATTTATACATCCACATCCAAACAAATTCCCCTGTATAGCATGGGTTTCGCCATACAAGGCATTGTTTGGGTGTGATGCAATGATATGAGTATCTTCATCTTCACCGCCTCAAGGAAATTCATGGGTCTTTGCCATCTGATGAATTATTGAGACAGTAGTTACATCTCGAAAATCGACCCAAAAGAGACAAATAACGTTGCATTGACAGGGTAAGCATCTCCTGTTATTGCTGCATCACCCGTCATGGGCATATCTGCTACAGTCCTTTAAAAGCTAAAAGCCAAAAGATACAAGTCAAACTAATCATGATAATGTACTTTGAATCTTTTGGAAACATGTGAAAAAGAAGATATTCATGTGTGACGTGTGTGCTTATTGCGAAACCCAATGTTGTCGAACGTTAAGTGCTTTATCAGCAAAGGTAACGAAAGAGCTAAATGTGTCATGATCCAAGTTTCTCCAAATGTGGTCGAAATGCTAAAACCAGATTTTTCTCCGAAATGTATTTGCAAAAATAATAGGACAAATTTTGTGTAACAGTTCTGTCATCCAAACATTTTTAAGAATAACAAATAATTGTCGAGTTCTGTACTTGTGTGAATTTGGAATAATTCAGTAAAACTATATTTTTGATTATTAAAACTCTTAAATTGCAAGCTTTAACATTCAGTAATTATCATAAATAAAACTGCTCTATTGTTCAAGGCTTTCAATTATTTTTTTTAACTATTCATTCCATAAAATAATTTCAGGCATTTTGTAAAATGCCTTTCAATTTTTCCAGGCATTTTATAAAATGCCTAGACAAAAATAGTCATTATGTAAAATGCCTGAATCTTGCAGGCATTTTAGAAAATGCCTAAAGTTTTAAGGCATTTTACAAAATGCCTAAATTTAGAAAATGCCTGTAACATATATATATATCAATATGTATCTTAACAGCAGAACATAATTTATTATTTTGCAAGCTTGGACAGATACATAACACAACTTTCATTCCTGACTGAAAACAAATCTGCTTAATCATATTATGCATTTAATATTTAGAAAGGATCAAGTTTCTGTGATCTTCCATCTAAGGTCACAGTACCCAAATTGCACCTATTTAGCAAAAATAGCAGCGAAAATCTTACACATTTTCTTAAGGAATTAAACAATTTGTATTTTTGTTATTTGACATTATGCACGTCTTTCAAAAAGGTAAATATATTTTAATATTCCAAAAAAAGTTCACAGTATATATCAACAGATGAAGTATTCACCGGAAAAAGTAAAAGTCATCTTTTTTAAAAATGAGCAAATAAAATATGTTACGAGCATCTATTTCTTAACAAATGAATAGTAAGCATGGACTAATGTCAAATTGTTCTACATATTCGAAGAAATAAAACAAAACATCTGTTATTCAATGTTTAAGGTAGTGGATTTAATCATGGATGCAACTTGGGTACTCCTAATTACAGAATCATGGATCGTTTGGATGTCGGTTCAAACCCATTTTTCTATGATTAAATATTGTTTCAATATTAAATTGGTAGAACTATAAAGTAAATAAGGATACATCTACAAAATAAACACAAAATGGAAACTTTTGTCTGGATCATAAATAAACGTAGGTGAAAAAAAAACGTCAAAATAGGTGCAATTTGGGTACCCTCACGTTATATAGTATTATATATACTAGTAAAGGTAATTTAATGGTCTCCTTACCTCAACAATTTAATGACCATATATATTTTATATTTAGATGTACCTGATTCGAAAACATTTGATATAACTCTAATGATAACATTACTAAGACACCTGACAGACCTGACTCCTCCTCTACTTGGATATGACTGTTTGCCATCTGTTAATGAAAATACACCATCCTCAGATTTAGCCAGAATAAAATATTATAGAAACTTCCTAGCTCACCTGGTTGAGGAGAAAATAGAGGATACTGAATTCATCACAGCATGGGACACTGTCACTGATGTTAGTTTATTTTAAATAACATAGTGTGCACCACATCAATGGACAATACTACTGGTTCAACAGGCTATTTAATATATTTGCGTTGAAGGAGTCAGTTCGGTAAGGGCCACAATATTAAGTCAATGGTTTCAAGATTAAAATAGTGTTTTAAATTGATGCCCAGATATGTAAGAAAATGAAATAGAATTATTTCTGTTGAGCTTTTCTTACAAAGCATTGACATTTGCACACCAAATCCCCAATGGTATGATTGCCAATGAGACAACTCTCCACAAGAGACCAAAGTGCATGTTTCAATATGTGTGTTAATGTATGCATAATATGAACTCTTGCTTTCTATTTTCATTTGTATGTGATCATGTGTTGATATGTATATATATATTTATATATGTATATATCAACACATGAACACATACAATATATGATAAAGATCCATTTTGTTACATCTTGTGATCCGTTTATTTGGCAATCGCCAATGGCAGTCAACAGGGTTTAAGAACATCCGTTGTTCGACCTGTTAGTCAAATGAGTTTTGTTTAAATATACTTTTTCACTTTTTGGTCTTTTGGCAAATGTTGTTTGTGCTGTATTTAGACCCCTCTAACAAGAAATTTGTTTTGCATGCACACGTATAAAAATTGCGGTTTTTATCCCACAAAACCATAAGTTTGAACGTTGTTTTCAATTTAGACTTGTATATATATAATAAAAAATAATTATATATATTGTACTGAGTGACGAATTTTTTTCTGTTTGAAAATCTCTCCAAAGTTTATATTGGCATATGTCTTGTATGTATACCGTTTTTAAATAAAGATTTATGTCTTATTTCGAGTCAGATATATATATTGTTTGTTATATAAAAAAATAAAGTCAAAAGATTTGTTTTTCTGACGTATGCACTGTTCTTTTCGAGTTCTAAAAACCAGTGAAAAATTATTTCTTTTCACTGAATTTGGAGGAAAACAAAAATGTGTGTAATTTCTGATGTCATGAAAAGAAGGCTGATTAGTATATTTCCAAAAAAAGACCAATTTCCATTCTAGTCATTGTATTAGCTATGATCATTATGATTATGGTCATTAAATCCTTATTTGAAAGTTTAGCTAGAAATAGGGGCCATATTGGAGCCTTCTCCTTTCACTGAAATAGCGATATTTTATCTACTACATAGAATTGCGGTTGACAGTATTTGTAAAATTATTTTTTATGCCCCCGCCGTAGTGGAGTGGGCATTAAGTGTTATCCATGTCTGTCAGTCCATCTGTCCGTCCGTTACGCCCCCAAAATTGGTTTCCGTTCTCTAACTTTAGTTTGCCTCAACCAAATGTTATAAAACTTATACACAATGCTTATTACCACAAAACACAGATCAAGTTTGAAATTGGGTGCATCATTTTTACTTTTCATGAGTAATGCCCCTTTATAAACATAAATAATTGCTGAATTTTTCGTTTCCGTTCTCTAACTTTAGTTTGCCTCAACCAAATGTTATAAAAATTATACACAATGATTATTACCACAAAACACAGATCAAGTTCGTAATTGGGTGGCGTCACTTTTACTGTTCTTAATGTATGCCCCTTTATAAATGGAAAAATTGCTAAATCTGTTGTTTCCGTTCTCTAACTTTAGTTTGCCTCAACCAAATGTTATGAAACTTACACACAATGCTTATAATCACAAAACGGTGTTTTTTTTACATGAATCCTGCATCTATATGTGGAAGTTGACTCATGCATATTTACAAGCGGGGGGCAAGTGTGGCCCATAGACACATTCTCCATTTATTTCTATTATAATAAGATACTATGGTCAGCAGAAAAAATATTAACGGAAATTAAATATTTCTATATTTTAAGCTGACAAGTTTGGACTTTTATGTATCACCTAAGAAATGTAACAGGTGTGAGTCTGTTGTCATTTCCTCTATTATTGCAAACCAAATGAAACTTTTCCACAGAGTCATCCCCTATTGGTCATTTTTTTTAAACTTTTGTCAGTTCTATTGTCCCATTGAATAATCCAAGCAAGCCCTTATTCTCTGTCTAGTTTATTCACTGGGACCTTTAAACTTCTTCTTAGAGAAATCCATCACTCATTGATTAATTTACCCAAGTAAACAAAGTATCTTCTTAAATATAAAAATAGCATGTTTTAACTCACAAAACTGCATGTGATGTTGTATTTATTCAATATCAATAATATATTTTCAATCTGTTCAATACAAACACTAATTTATTCATAAAACATTGATGTCTAAAAAGTTTTAGCATTGGTCCTATTGAAATTTGCGTTTTATTTTGTTTTAGTTAAGTTATAGAAAACATTAAAGAAGGCCTTGATTTAAACATGATCTTTGTCCAGTTTACATTTGTCAAACACAAAAATAAAATCAATAGGAAAAATGTTGAAAATTGTATCGGAAATCAACTTTTATATAATGTAAAAATTTTTAATTAAATTCTTATAATTGATAATCAGCACTACTGTCATTAGGGAATCGTGATTAAGTACCTAGAGAAGAAACATTATTTCTAGATTAACCTGCATAATGATGATCATGAAGACGCTTGATGAACTTTAAAAGTGCAGGGAAGGCGATCTCCTCTATCTGGTAAATGACGTCATAAAGGCCCGCATAATTGACGAACTTTTACGGTGAAGGACATAACTCGAAAGTGGTCTATTATCAGTGTTTTTTAATTGGTCATGAGTTAAATATTTTTTTGATATTTGAATTTTTGGATTAGTTATTTTTTTTTATTACATTCACCATGAACTTTTTTATGGAAATCAAGTCGAAAATACAAGGTACTGTATCTTTTTCTATGATCCTTTTGATTTAATGTCATCTACAAAGTCTTGACAATACCAATTGTTGTATAATGTCAGAGGAGTGTAATTATAGAATTTATTTCTTGTTTGAAATTATCAGACTCTATTTTACTGAGAAATCACGGTATTTAGTTGCAACCAATGTTATAAGTCATAATAACCCTTGATGTTTAACCCACGAAGACTGTTCTCTCTTCAAATTTCCAGGCTATCAGTAGGTTAGGTGGACAACCAATAAAGCAAGAGTGTGATCACTTGAAGGTGAAATTACTGGACCCAGAGTACTCAGGAAATAATGGAACTCAAGAAGTCAGTAGAGAGCTTGAAAAAAGCTAATGAAGATACGACAATAGAAGTGAAAAAGTTAAAAACATCTCATGAAGATACAGTACCTTGGAATATAAGGGGTAAATATTTGACAGCCAACAATTGTAATTTTAAGTTATCCTATGCTTGCTAAAAATCTGAAATATTTTGCATATGACGTCTCTTTATTTACGCCAAAGTGACAGCGTGCCTTGATCGTATAATTTCTGTAATTTGTTTTTATAGTTATTAGTCCCCTACCGACGAAGTCGATGGAACTTTAGGTTTGCATTCCGTCCGTCTGTCTGTCTGTCCATCCGACAGTCCGGCAAATCAGTTTTCCACACTTTTTTTCTTCGTGCTTGAAGATATTGATTTGATATTTGGTGTATTGTTTTATCATGACAAGTTACAGATCAAGTTTGAATTTTGGTGCGGTCTGATGATTTTGTGCAGAGTTATGGTCCTTGAACTTAGAAAATTCACTCAAATAATCAGCTTTCCTCACTTTTTTTCATATGCTTGAAGATATTGATTTGATAATTGATATTTAGTTTTATCATGACACGTTACAGATCAAGTTCGAATTTTGTTCCGGTCTGATGATTTTGGGCAGAGTTATGTTCCTTGGACTTGGAAAATTCACTCAAATAATCCGTTTTCCTCACTTTTTTCGTCATGCTTGAAGATATTGATTTGATAATTGGTATATAGTTAAATCATGACAAGCTACAGATCAAGTTCGAATTTTGTTCCGGTCTGATGATTATGTGCAGAGTTATGGTCCTTGGACTTAGAAAATTCACTTAAATAATCAGTTTTAAACACTTTTTTTCGTCATGCTTGAAGTTATTGACTTGATATTTGTTATATAGTTACACCATGACAAGTTATAGATCAAGTTAGCATTTTGTTCCTATACAATGAATTTTTAACCGGTAGGAGACTATGTATTGCCATGCAATACTCTCAGAATGCTTGTATGAATTGATAATCCCTTATGTAAACACGATTACTATTATGATAAAAGATATCTCGATCTTTGACAGTTGTTATTAATCACCAAATCCCTTCCTAAGTGTAAAAAATGTGATCTAAAGGTTGAAATTTTTTCAGGATGATTATAGCGTGGGGACGCTGTGAAAAAAAAAGTATGATTCATAAAATTTCTAAAAACTTTTGATTGAAAAGAGATACGCGAGTTCGGTTCTTTGTAAAATCATATTTTTAGGTTATAGGTTGTATTAGCTTATTTTTGTTGTCAATTTTTAAAGTGAAAAGCGGAATATAAATCTCCTTCTCATTACAACAGGAAACCACATGCATTTAATTAAATTTATACTGTTCCTATAAAATTGCTAACTCCTACTTATGTGTGCAATATTTGTATTAAAATCAGGGTTTTTTTTTTGCTAAATAATGGTCCTCAGATGTCTTAAGCATATTACTTCATGAAAATATGTACAATAGGTTTTTTATTGCATGCTTATTGTTTTTATTAGGATTAATTATGATCTAACCTTCCACACGTTGTTTTCTTAGAGGTCAAGTAAAGCGCCGGTATTTCGACTATATTTGGTTTTTTTTTCAACACTAATATATTGACTACTTATTAATAATTTTTTGTAAACAATAAGAAAAGTATTTATCTTTCAAAACTACTTCGATGATTACGTTTATCCCCATGTAAAAACATTTCTTTCTAGTAAATGTATTTAATTTGTTAAAATAGTTTGATTATTCGTATTTTTCTATTTTTTGCATTTATTTTTTTTAAAATTTAAACGGTATTCTATATGCTGACTTGTTTGCCGAAATCTATTTTTTACATGTATAGAAGGCTAATTAACCATGTGACACGATAAGCTGTCTATCAAAAAAAAAAAAAAAACAATAATCCGCTATCGGGACAATAAAATCTCAACAGATCGATCAGTTTCCAGTCCCGTTAGTATAATAGTCCCAGCTGGAACACAGGACAATGGAAAAATTAAAAGAACAGTCTGAACATGTACAAAGTACAAAAACATTGTTAAGTTTTGTAGACCAAAAAATCTGTATACCCTGTCAGTCTAATGAAACATATATGGGAAGGGAGCAGGGTTGGCCTAAACCCAGACCAAAAATCTGTATACCCTGTCAGTCTAATGAAACATATATGGGAAGGGAGCAGGGTTGGCCTAAACCCAGATTTTATGAATATTGCCCAGCCAAGTGGGAAATACTGGGAAAACCAGGCTTTTACTCGGCACTATGCAATTCTTGTTTGAATCTTTTAGAGGTAGCAGTGATCAATTACAAAGGCAGTACATATTATATAAGATATATAAATGTATATAATACATAATATTTTAATTCATAAGCTCACTTTTTTGAGACTCTTGTTTTAAAGTATATAAAATTGAGAAAGTATTGGACTACATAGACAGTAATCCTCCTAAAACATGTAAACAAATTATTAAATTGTCATTCTATCTTTATTAAACTGTTTTTAGCTCACCTGGCCCAATAGGCCAAGTGAACTTTTCTCATCACTTGGCGTCCGTCGTCCGTCGTCCGTCGTCCGTCATCGTCGTCGTTGTCGTCGTCCGTTAACTTTTACTTTTACTTTTAAGGAGTTATTGCCCTTTATAGTAAATTTTTAACCATTTTTCGTAAATTTTTGTTATCTTTTACAAAAATCTTCTCCTCTGAAACTACTGAGCCAAATTTAACCAAACTTGGCCACACTCATTATTAGGGTATCTAGTTTAAAAATGTGTCTGATGACCCCTCTTACCAACCAACATGGACGACATGGCTAAAAATATAACATAGGGGTAAAATGCAGTTTTTGGCTTATATCTCTGAAACTAAAGCATTTACAGCAAATCTGAAAATATAAGTGTTCATCAGGTTGAGATCTATCTGCCCTGAAATTTGCAGACGAATCACACAACCCGTTGTTGGGTTGCTGTAACTGAATCGGTAATTTTAAGGAGATTTTGCAGTTTTTGGTTATTATCTTGAATATTATTATAGATAGAAATAAAATGTAAACAGCAATAATAATCAGCATTGTAAGATCTACAAATAGGTCAAACATGACTAAAATTATCAATTAACCTCTTAAGGAGTTACTGGCCTTTATAGTCAATTTTAAATCATTTTTCGTAAATTTTTGTTATCTTTACAAAAATCTTCTCCTCTGAAACAACACAGACAAATTAAGCCAAACATAGCCATAATCATCATTAGGGTATCTAGTTTAAAAAATATGTCCGATGACCCCGCCAGCCAACCAACATGGCCGACATGGCTAAAAATAGAACATAGGGAACATCTCTGAAACTAAAGCATTTAGAGCATATCTGACAATGGGTTAAAATGTTCATCAGATTTAGATCTATCTGCTCTGAAATTTTCAGACGAATCAGACAACCCGTTGTTGGGTTGCTGCCCATGAATTGGTAAATTTAAGGAAATTTTGAAGTTTTTTGTTATTATACCCTAAATATTATTATAGATAGAGATAAACTGTAAACAGCAATAATGTTCAACAAAGTAAGATCTACAAATAAGTCAATGTAACCAAAATTGTTAATTGATACCTTAAGGAGTTATTGCCCTTTATAGTCCATTTTTCGTAAATGTTTGTAATCTTTTACAAATATCTTCTTCGCTTTATCTACTAGCCACAATTTTCAATAGGGTATCTTGATTGAAAAATGTATCCGATGACCCCGCCTGCCAACCAACATGGCCGCCATGGCTAAAATAGAACATAGGGGTTTAATAGAAGTCTAAGGGAAAATTGCAAAAAAAACAATTTCAAATGGTCACAACTTAAAAACTAATTTAAATAGTGATAAGGGGTCTTCAGTAACTATTGTAAGACTACAATGGGATGACCTGCTTTTAATTTAACTACTGGGCCAAATTAAACCAACTTTGACCTCAATCATTATTAGGGTATCTAATACTATTTATTATGTTTTTAACCTTATTTTACATGATTTCGAAAACAACAGTAGATACAGGTGAGCTACACAGGCTCTTGGGAGCCTCTAGTTAACATGGAGCAAAAGTATTCATTTGTTTTTATATATTGATAACTAATTATCAGAGTAAACAATTATTTATTAAGGAAAATGACTACTCAACAAATTTTGTTCATTACTATTTTTAGTGTTGAAACAAGGTTAGCATACTTACATCGACATAACTAAGTACTAAGTAATTATTCAGATTATAACACATATTTGTTTATATTGCAATAATAAGCCTTTACATCTCTTTAAGTATAGATGAAATGTTCCCTTTTGGTGTATATTTAGCAATATAATATTGTAAAGCAATTAAATTTTCCAATTCACTGTATTGATACACTACACTAAATTGCATTTTTGCTATCTTTGTATTGATAGACATAAAGCTGAGAAATAAACAAATCATCATACATTTGCAAAACGTATCTGTACTCTACCTATATAGAGTTAAAGAAGAAAAGGAAAAACTTGAATGTTTTTAACTTCTGAAAATGACTCTCAATGTTTATCTGTATAAAATGTATATATTAAGCAAGACTACTATGAAAATACTGTATTTCTTTACTATTTAGTGTAAAATTAAGCATAAAAAATCGAATTGCCCAGTGTTGCCCGGTATTACCCATTTCAGGGGATATTGCCCAGCCTGGGAAAACCTGGAATTTATAGATTAATGTGAATGGCTATATTATTAGAGACTTCAACTCTGTCTCTTTTACTTCAATAAAACACACAAAATTGATATAACATAATAATATAACTATATCATGTATATTTTGTGTTATTCTTGTCTTTTGAGTTGAATTAGTTGGAACTAGCAAACTCTTGTTTGTGATTGAAAAAGCAAATTTCGGAAAATATATGACCTGCAGAATAAAGACAGTCTTTAATAGTTTACTATGTGGTATGAGTTCTACTCTTGTTGATGTATTTGGTCTCTGGTGGAAAGTTGTCTCATTGGCAATCCTACAACATCTTATAGTAATAAGTAATAAAAATTTTATTATTTGTTTTTCAGCACTAATTAATGAGATCCTTGTCGAGTGGAAGGACAATGATAAGATGTTTATAACAACAAGAGCTGCCAAAGATGTACTAAAATGTATAAAGGAGAACAATTGTGTAACTATTACTGCTAGTTCTGGGGTAGGGAAGACGGCCACACTTCGACATGTGGCATTACAGATGGCAACAGAAGGGTATGATGTACTTCTAGTGACAGACCCAGGTGACATTGTCAAGTTTTATAACCCAATCCAGAAAACATTGTTTGTTATTGATGATTTATATGGAAACTATTCTTTAAACCAGACTGACATTAAAGTTTGGGAACCTTTCATGGAGAGAATCAAAAAGATCCTTTCAAAAAAACTTTCTAAAATAATTGTAGCATGTCGATTACAAGTGTATCAGGATGACAAATTTGAATCTATATCAGTTTTCAAGTCATGTGTATGTAACCTATTAACAGAAAGCATGTGCTTGTCAAAAGCTGAAAAAGAGTCAATAGCTGAGTTTTATCTTCAAACAAAAGCTCATGAAATTACAGATTATTATGATTTATATGATTGTTTTCCACTTTTATGTAAATTGTATCCTGAAAATCCTTCACTAAATATCACAGATTACTTCCAAAATCCTTTTACAGTGTATGAAGCCGAGATTGATAAGCTACAGAAAAACGGATTTTACAGTAAATACTGTGCTTTGGCTTTATGTGTCATATTTAACAACAATTTGCATGAGGCTATATTAACAGAGGAGGTGAATGAAGAAACAAGAGCTATGATTGAGAACACATGTGAGGCATGTAGACTGGACAAAGGAACATCAAGGCTTACTTTACAGGATGACCTTAACTCATTTATACATACATTCTTGAAACAGCAACAAAACATATACAAAACTATTCATGATATAATATTTGACTTTCTGGTGTACTACTATGGAAAGAAAATAATCTGCTGCTTGATAAAGAATGCACATAGGGGTTTGATAAGGGAAAGATTTTTATTACAAAGACAAAATAATGTGGATAGATTTGTAACAATTGTCCCTCCTAAATATCATCAAATGTATACACAAAGAATGATTGAAGACTGGTCAAAGGGTAAAGTCAATGCTGTATTTTGTAACATCAATATGGAGATATCTCCGTTCAGAAAAAAATTTCTCTGTTATTTGAATGAACTGGATACATTGTACCAGAGACAATTAGCACATACCTGTGATGCAGGTAACAATGATACTGCTCTGTTAAATTTATGTTTTCAAAGGGATATTCCTATCATTCAATGGTGTTTAAGTCATGATGTTGATGTTAATCAGTGTAGGAATAATGAGGTAACTCCATTGTGTGTAGCTGTCCAGGAAGGTGGGACAAAAATAGTAAAGATGTTGTTAGACATGGGAGCAGATTATGATAAATGTGACAATAAAGGTTTGTCACCTTTATATGTTGCTAGTAAATATGGACATGTAGATATAGTAAGGATGTTGTTAGATATAGGAGCAGATTATAATAAATGTGCCAATGTTGGTTGGCCACCTGTAATTATTGCTATAAGATATGGACATGTACTAGTAGTTAGGATGTTGTTGGACATAGGAGCAGATTATAATAGATGTGACATATATGGTTGGTCACCTGTAATGAGTGCTTGTAGATATGGACATACAGAAATAGTAAGGATGTTGTTAGATATAGGAGCAGATTATAATAAACGTACCAATAAGGGTTGGTCACCTGTAATGAATGCTGGTAGATATGGACATACAGAAATAGTAAAAATGTTGTTAGACAAAGGTGCAGATTATGATAAATGCGACAGAGACAGTTGTTCACCTGTAAAGTTTGCTTGTAGTGCTGGTCACACAGAAATAGTAAGGATGTTATTAGACAAAGGAGCAGATTATTATAAATGTGACAATGATGGTTTGTCACCGGTAATGAGTGCTTGTATACATGGACATAGAGAAATAGTAAGGATGATGTTAGACAAAGGAGCAGATTATAAAAAATGTGACAATAAAGGTTTGTCATCTTTATATGTTGCTAGTAAATATGGACATGTAGATATAGTAAGGATGTTGTTAGACATAGGAGCAGATTATAATAAATGTGCAAATGGTGGTTGGCCACCTGTAATTATTGCTATTAGATATGGACATGTACAAATAGTAAGGATGTTGTTGGACATAGGAGCAGATTATAATAAATGTGACATATATGGTTGGTCACCTGTAATGAGTGCTTGTAGAAAGGGACATACAGACATAGCAAGGATGTTGTTAGACAAAGGAGCAGATTATAATAAATGTACCAATAAGGGTTGGTCACCAGTAATAAATGCTTGTAGATATGGACATACAGAAATAGTAAAAATGTTGTAAGACAAAGGAGCAGATTATAATAAATGTGACAGAGACAATTGTTCACCTGTAAAGTTTGCTTGTAGTGCTGGTCACAAAGAAATAGTAAGGATGTTATTAGACAAAGGAGCAGATTAAAATAAATGTGACATTGATGATTGGTCACCTGTAATGAGTGATTGTATATATAGACATACAGAAATAGTAAGGATGTTGTTAGACAAAGGAGCAGATTATAATTAATGTGACAAAAAGGGTTGGTCACCAGTAATGAATGCTTGTTATTCTGCACATACAGATATAGTAAGGATGTTGTTGGACGAAGGAGCAGATTGTAAAACAAATAACAGTGATGGCAAGTCAGCTGTGATGACTGCTTCCAAAAGAGGTCACAGGGATATAGTTAGTGTGATAAATAAAAATCCCAGAAACGAAAATGATACATAACAGATAGAAGATTTAAAATTTAACATTAAATTTACTTTATCTCTTAATACAAAATACCAAACCTGTTGTTTATGAAAATCTTTATTTTCATTGATCCATTATATCATGGTTAGATAAAATTCATATCTGTCATGTCTACAGTAGGTATAAAAATTATGCAAGATTTGGATCCAATAAAAGGTACATTGTTTTTCAACTAAATGATCTTTAGCTTACCTGGCCCGAAGGGTCATGTGAGCTTTTACCATCACTTTGTGACCGTCGTCCTTCCGGCCGTCTGTTGTCTGTAAACTTTTCTTTAAAAATCTTTTCATCAAAAACTGCTCAATAGGTTGAAACCAAAGTTGGTCTGCTTCATCTATAAAATGCCAACCATAAAGTTTTTGATTTTCGTCCAGGTTGATCAACCAACATGGCCGGCATGTCTAAAAATAGAACATGGGGTCAAACTACAATTTTTACCCTGCAAATTTTGACCAATTAACCCTGAAAATCTGTCCACTTTTTTTTGGGAGTTCTTGGCCCTGAAATATTGATTTTTAAACATGTTTTTCATTTACTTGCCATCGTTTCAAAAACTATAGAATGTAAGCGAGAAGTCTGATCTGCAAAAAATTATCAGCATAACAAAATGTATATATACCTACCTTGAAAGTTGTTGGGTTTTGGGGTTTAATTCTTAGCAGTTGTTGGCTGTAATCGTGACAATAGAAGGAGCCAGTTAAAAGTGAAATTTGAAAAGCGTTCAGCACAACAAGATGTATCTAACCTGAAAAATAGTAAAACAATCTGTTGACCTGATTTGGAATTATTGCCCGTGAAATAATTATTTTTGCAGTTTTTGGCTGTTATCGTGAAAAAATATATGACCTCATCTAAAAGTGTTAATTGCGAAAATGATCAGCAAAAGATCTATTAACCCCCAAATTTTCCGACAAATATGTCAACCTGTTTTTGTTTCAACATCAAATGCGAGACAGGCATTACGGTCTGGCGGTAGCTTAAATTATTTAAATAAAGCTTTATATTTTAGAAGAAAGAAGACAGTGACGCTTCAAACCTTGTATACAGATGCTTTATGTTACAAAGTTCGCGATTGTCATATGTCCATTGTCCTTGACCTCATTTTGATGGTTCAGCAACTGCTTGAAAAAAAAATCATTTTTTTGTCATGTAAAATACTCAGGTAACTATATTTGGTGTATGGATTCCTTGCAAGGTTTACATGTCTATAAGACAGGGTTCATTTGACCTCAATCCCATTACATGGATCAGTGATCAAGGTTTACAATTTACCGTTATGTTTTCGTTGTCGAGTCGCAGCTGACAATAGTTGTCGTTAATTTATTTCGAAGGAAAACCATATAAATATATTTCCCTGGTAAACTATAAGATTTCTGGTGCAAAATATCGGAAATACTTACGCGTAAATAGTACAATCTTACTTTGTATTTCCTTGGGAAACTTTTCATAAATACCAGTTGAATATGTATAAATTCCCAGGGAAATATTTTTGCTGTCTGTTTCGTTAAAAAATATATTCTTTTTTATAAAATTTTTTTTTTTTTTAAGATATTCCTTTTTGTATTACGTATTGTTCTTTTAATACTCTGAAAGTAAATTTTTAAAGTTAAAATGATTTCAATAAGTAATATTGAATCATTTTCTGAAATCTATGCATTTTTCTTACATTGTACAAAATGTATATGGAGGAAAGTCGATGTTCTATTGTTTCTCGCACAACGCACGTCCCTTTGGACATTTATTCATTTTCTCAACAAAAAGAGAAGTCGTTTATTTGTGTAAATTTTTAAAAGTGTCTTATGACCTATTTCCAGTTCGTCATAATATTCTTTTTTTTAAGAGTTGGTTGAATAACAGCTCGATCATGATTTCAACTCTCTAGTTTTTATACATTTTTTTAATAACAATCACATTTTAACTGTTTTTTACTTATACAATTATTATTGCTATATTCTTCCTGGGTAATTTTCAATTAACTCTTACAAAAATCCTAAAACAAGATACTCTATTGTGTTTAGTTGTCAGTAATGTTAGGACAAAAAATCATACATCTTAAACCAAGACATCTCATAATATAATATTGGTTGTAAGTATACTCTCAAATGAAATATTAAACAAGTAGTTTAATATTCATTAGTAGTACTTAATCATGTTGGTAATTCTCCGCATTTGTCCTACCCTACATCATGTATATATGGATAACAATTGAAAATGTATTGTTACCCAAAGAAACGTTGTTTTTTTTTTTTTTTCTACGGAATTTTTTCATCGATATTCATGGAAATGTTTTTCTGGTTAGTTAGTTTCCCGGGGAAACTAGCTAGGGATAATCGATGGACATGCAGTGTTTCCCAGGAAAATGTTTGTTTAGTAGTTTGTTTTCTGGGGAAACTAATCAGGCGTAATAAATTAATATGTATTGCCTGTTTCCAGAAATTATTCATTTTCTTCTATTTTCATAAAAAAGAATGGCCAACGTAGATACAAGTATCTTGTTTTAGGGAGGGATAAATCCTACTTTGTAAAAATTCAAGCAAAAACATATCTGAAACTGACATTATCCAGAAGCTTGATTTCTTGATTGACAACATATTTGTAACGTTTGGAGGACGTGTTTTTCAACAAACAATCGGCTTTTCCATGGGTACCAACTGTGTCCTCTTGTTGCCGACTTGTTCCTTTATTCATATGAGGCTGATTTCATATAGGAACTTCTTAGGAAGAAAGAAAACATGTTAGCAGTATTCGTTAACTTTACTTTCTGCTATAAAGATGATTTCTCTCACTAAATAATTCAAAATTTGGTGACTTTGTTGAACGCATCTATCCCATCGAACTATAGATACAACATATACAGTTAAGTCTGCCTCATATCTTGACTTACATCTAGAAATTGACAATCAGGGTCGGTTGAAAACAAAACTTTAAAACAAAAGAGATGATTTAAGCTTCCCAATTGTGAACTTTCCATTTCTATGTAGGTGTAATACCACCAAATCATAGTACGTCACATCCGGTTGCATACGATAAAGGGTTGCAAAAAATATTACCTTGAATTTGACAGTTGCATGTAGGAAATTAATCTACATTTCATCGCAGTAAAAACTTTCTGAGTCATAAACATATATCTTGGGTGTTTCAAAGCACCATTATTTTTTAATTTGTTGTATCTATAGAATATTTTGGAAACTTGAGGTTACATGGTTACTAAAGCTTGTACACAGGAAAAAGGGGGGTGAAAATTTGATTGGTTAACTTCCAGTGATGGTTATTTTCTTATATGCAATGAAATATTATGTGAAATTTTGTCTATAGTACTGGACAGGATAAAACTTTACTCATGCTAAGTATTTCTTTATTTGAAACAATGATAAATTCTGCACAATTTTTTGAAAATTGCAAATTTAACAAAGACTAATAGGGGAAAATCAATGGTGGTATTACACCTATTATGGGAAGCTGTACATGCACATTTGACCTTGAGTGTACTCTCATTTGTTAAAAGTTCATGCTAATTAAGTGAAATATTACAAAAATGAAATATTCTGAGTGGATTGAGTCTCAAAAACACATTTTATGTGAAAATTGCCTTAAAATAAGACTTTACCATGAATATTAGTTGACAGAGCAAGCCATACTCAAGTGTTTTGTAAGCTTTTTCTGACTTTTTCTCCTTATTTCTTATATTTTGCTATAATATAAAAAATTTTCCTAAGTAATACTTTAATAAATATATAGTTATAAGTAAATGCAATTATTTTTGAAGCAGTACAAACAAATTATTCACTAAAAAGGAAGCTTTTTATGTCCCTCTCTGGAACGCGGCGTAAATTTATGTAAACGTAAGGATTTATTGAAACCTCCATTGAGTCAGTAAACTTTTATATGGATAGTTCATTTAGCTTGAATACTTCAAATACTCATTTACTATCACATTTCTTTCACAATTGAGTGAAAGTTACCCAAAAATTTTTATTCATTGGCCTAAAAAGTTGAAATTTTGAGGAAATGAGAGGTATAAATGGACCAAATGGGACCTTATAATGAAAACAAAGAGGTCCATTATTGGTATGTATCATCCTAGAGTCATCTTTTGTATCATATTCAACTGTTTGTAGGCAGATAATATTTGATCATTTATTGGTCCATACTATATTCTATGATGATGTGGCTTGATTTGGATTTTTCGAAGAAATTTTGCCCGAATCGCTGTAGATGTCGTCTTACATCATACTAGATTTTTCTCAAACTGTTGAACTGATTATGCCAAAACTTGACAGTAATGCTTGAATTAACCTGTATTACAAAGGAAAAAAATCACATTAAGTTTATTCAACAAAAAAGTCTTCTTTATGTGTAATACCACCAAATCATAGTACATTGTACGTCACATCCGGTTGCATACGAAACAGGGTCGAACAAAAATATTCCCTTGAATTTGATAGTTGTAGGAAATTAATCCTACATTTCATTGCAGTAAATTCTGAGTCATAAACATATATCTTGGGTGTTTCAAAGCACCATTATTTTTTTATTTGTTGTTTCTATAGAATATTTTGGAAACTTGAGGTTACATGGTTACTAAAGCTTGTACACAGGAAAAAAAGGGTTGAACACTTGATTGGTTAACTTCCAGTGATGGTTATTTTCTTATATGCAATGAAATGTTATGTGAAATTTTGTCTATAGTACTGGACAGGATACAACTTTACTCATGCCAAGTATTTCTTTATTTGAAACAAAGATAAATTCTGCACAATTTTTTTGAAAATTGCAAATTTTACAAAGACTAATAGGGGAAATCAATGGTGGTATTACACCTGTAGCAACATTCCAGCAGCGCCTGCATACGAAGTATATATCTTCCAGTTGATACGATATTCTAGGGCTTATATTTCCTATCGTTATTTCCTTGATAGAGGGTTGCTGCTCACAAGGAAGCTATCAAACCAAGTTGAAATCATCACTTCGTACATTTTACGGACGCCATCACGAGTTGGTTGACCGTTTTGAAATATTCGTTCACAGATGATAGCGGATATGTTCCAAATGTCGTAACTACAATTCCGTCCGCTTTTCCCCGAATGTGACCTACTGACTTATTACCGGTATTGTACTAACATGAGAAACACGACGGGTGACAACAGGGTCTGCTTACCCTTCCAGAGCGCCTGAGATCACCCCCAGTTTTTGGTGGGGTTCGTGTTGCTCAGTCTTCAGTTTTCTATGTTGTGTTTTGTGTACTGTTGTTTGTCTTTTTCTTTTTGTAGTCATGGCGTTGTCAGTTTATTTAACCAAAAAATATTTCTCTGCGAAACAAAACATTTTCATCTATCATTCCCGACTATAGTTTCCAAAAAAACTAACAACCTAAAAGGCATTTCCCTGGAAAACAATACATATTAATCTTTTATCCCTGAATAGTTTCCCCGGGAAATTAACAACATAAAAACATTTCCCTGTGAAACAATACTATTAATCTATTATCCCTGACTAGGTTCCCCAGGAAACAGAAAAGCAAAAAGCATTTCCTTTGAAAAATATACATTTTCAATTTTTATCAATGAATAAATTCCCTAGTAAAAAAAAACAATAGGAAAACGTTTCTTTGTGTAATGTTCCGGACCATATGTGTCTTTGAACCATATGCGTATCGTCGTGACTACATAAATACCTTTTCGTTTGAAGTGAAATTTCGGGCGTTTGGGGCATGGACCTTTTTATCTTTTTATTTAGTGTTTGAATTATCATTTCAGAAACAAACTTTCTTCTTATTTCTACCATTGAAGTATTATATTGACGTCAATAGTATACTCCATGTTTCTACTTACATTTGTATTTTCATTTTTTTAGCATGCTCTTGTTCCTATAGGACTAAAAACACATTAGATAACTAAACCAATTATAAAGATTTAAGAAATTTTAATTAAAAAAAAACAAAATAGAATAAGAAAAATAAGAAAAGAAAAAGGGTTCAATGACCAAAGTTCCTATGAGCTAAGTAATTGTCTTCTTATTTAACAATTCATTTAGATATTTCTTGAAGTTATTTCCCAAAGTCGAGTTAAAATTATTTTACTTTAATTCTTACATGTAAGTAACATTCACTTTATTTCATTAATAATGTAAGAATGATTACCAAATGATTGAATAAGTTATTTTTTTTATTTTTTTTAAACTCTTCATTTATGGGACACCTTTTCAACGTTCGTCATGTTGATTACCCTGACCATATGAGTATATACACATATGGTCATGATCATACGCGTATGGTTCAAATACTCGCATGGTCCGGAACAATAAGAAAACATTTTCAACTGTCTTCTATGTATCATTTCTCTTGTAAGGAGACAACAAAACATTTCCTTTAGAAACAATACATAATAATTTATAATTATTGTACCTGACTACTTTCCCTAGGAGAAAAAACAACCAGTGGATATTTCCCTGGGAAGCATAGGTTTTGTTGTTTGTTTATGGAAACAATTCACTGACAGTTTCATAAGTAAATGAGAGATACGTTTATTTGCTTTTTTCTCTCATGTAAATAATGCTAATGCTATAAGAAATATTTGTTTCTGTACCACTTCCAAATATTATTTACCATTAGCGCAATCCTCTGAAATTAAACTTGTTCAATTAAGATGAGTTCAAAAAAATATTATAATAGTGTAAAATTATTTTTAGAGATTTATTCATTTTCCATATATTGGATATGGAGGAAAGTCGATTTCTATTGTTTCCAAGGGAAATTCATCATTTAACAATTAAACTTACATCAGGAAATTGACAATGAGGGTCGGTTGAAAACAAAACTTTACGACAAAGAAATGATTTCAGCTTCCCAATTGTGAACTTTCCATGTCTATGTAGCAACATTCCCGTAGCGCCTGCATACGGAGTATATATCTCCCAATTGATACGATATTCCCAGGCTTGCATTTCCTATCATGATTTCCTTGATAGAGGGTTGCTGCTCACAAGGAAGCTTTTAAACCAAGAGTTCCAAATGGTGAAGTTGAAATCATTCCTTCGTAAATTTTACGGACGCAATTACGAGTTGGTTGACCGTTATGGAATATCCGTTTCACAGATGATAGCAGATATGTTCCTAAAAACGTAACTACAATCCCGTTTCCTTTTCACGAATGTGACCTACCGAATTAGACTATTTACCGGGTTTGTACTAACATGAACAACACGACGGGTGCCACATGTGGAGCAGGATCTGCTTACCCTTCTGGAGCACCTGAGATCGTCCCCAGTTTTTGGTTGGGTTCGTGTTGCTTAGTCTTTAGTTTTCTCTGTTGTGTTTTGTGTACTATTGTTTGTCTTTTTCTTTTTTAGCGTTGGCGTTGTCAGTTTATTTTCGATTCATGAGTTTTAATGTCCCTCTGGTATCATTCGTCCCTCTTTTTTTAAACAGGATACTTTAATGTATACATTCATAAATGTCAAGACAAAAGGAAATATTGTCTTCTCTAAACAGCTCTCAATATAATATGTATTTGTAATTATTCTCTCAAATGACATACTAACCAGAGCGCTTAGTTGAGTTGCATTAGTAGAACAAAATCATACGGATAAGTTTCTGCATCTTTCCTACATCATGAATAGATAATAATTGCAGAAAATTACAAACAAGAATATCCTCTTTTTCAAGAAACATACACCAAACAACAGTTTTATGCAAAAACTACAATTTTGATTATTATCCATGAACTTTTTCACCAGGAAACTGACAACAAAATATGTTTCTACGGACAACAATACATATTCAATTGTTATCCATACATAGATTAGGACAGATGCTGAGATTAATCAACATGATTTAGTACTACTAATGAAAATCAATGATATGCTACTGATTTAACATTTTATTTTAGAGGATACTTACAAACAATATTATATTATGATTATTTTAAGCTTTAAACTATAAAAGTATCTGGTTGAAAAACAATTAAATGTGATTGTTATTCAAATAAAATGTATAAAAGCTACAAAGAGTGCAAATCATGATTTAGCACTGCCACTGAAATTCATCTGACTCTATCGGAATAATTCATCAGAGGGAGACAGCAAACTTAATATAGATAGGTAATACACACACTTTTGAAAACGTTTCTTTGTGTAATGTTCCGGACCATATGAGTCTTTGAACCATATGCGTATGGTCGTGACCACATGCGCATATGCATATGGTTAATTTAAATACCTTTTCGTTTGAAGTGAAATGACGGGCGTTAGGGGCATGGACCTTTTTATCTTTTTATTTAGTGTTTGAATTATCGGAATAATTCATTATATCAGAGGGAGACAAAAAACTTTATAAAGATAGGTAATAGACACACTTTTGAAAAGTATACACAAACTACTTTGTTAAATAGATAAAGGAAACGTGTCTTGCTCGGGAAACAATAGAAATTCGACTTGCCTCCATATACATTATTAGAAAAATGCCTAGATTTCTGAACATGATTCATTAATACCTATTGAAATCATCTGAACTTTAAAAGTTTAATTTCAGAGAATTGCACGAGTAATCAGTGATACAAAAAAGAATATCTTATATAGGATTAAATCTTGTGAAAAATCATTGCCAAAGAGAATATAGTTTTTTACTAAAATTAATAATTTCTATAGGAAACAGACAACCAAAATATTTCCCTGGGAAACTATACATAATAATTGAACTTTTATTTATGAAAGGTTTCCCAGGGAATACAAAAAAGATGGTACTATTTTACGCGTAAGTATTTCCGATATTTTGCACCAGAAATCTTATAGTTTCCCTGGGAAATATTTCCTATATGGTTTCCCTGGGAAATAAATTGACGCCAATTAAGTCAGCTGGTGTCGAGTCCATATCTCAGAAACTATAGGTTGCACTTCTGTCAATATAGACAATGGACAATAGGAACTCCTATTACGGCTTAAACTGTGCCATTTTTTCTATGAAGTTTCGTGAAAAATTATATCCTAGAATGGAAAGTTTATATGCACTTCTATTTTTTTCAAAGGTCAAATATAGGGCTGTGTGGCATATTTTCAGCACTTATATGCCTCGAACTTCTAAGAGTTTAAACTTATACTAAAATTCTGTACATTTTAACTACCCCTCCCTTCACTTTGGGTCTTCTTCAGAATTCTATTTGGCCGCTATCCATGTGCATTTTTACTGGTAAAATTCCCAAGTTATGTCTCTATGAGATGAAACACAGAGTTCATATCTGGGAGCCAGTAGGTTAATAATTTATACTTATTGACTGGGTATGAGTGGAATAGTAAGTTTATTGTCCCCGAGGTGCAATTATTGACTTGAGGCGTAGCCGAGGGCAATAGTTGTATCCGAGGGGACAATAAACTTATTATTCCACAAATATCCAGTCAGTAAGTGTTTTATTATACCGAAAGAGACAACAGACAATAAAAGTCGGGGCTAAATCAACTTTCGGAATATAAAAAGCAGAAACACAACCATACTGTTTCGCGTTTACTTCATATATATTCTGAATGCTAAGGCTACGTCCCGCACTGACGTCAACCATAGATGCAATTGGTAAAACGCGACGTCGTAACTCCTGTGGTATTCTCAACATTATCCAATCCCGTAGCTGCATTTGAAATTCCGCGAAATATAATGACGCTTGCGGTCAAATAGTTTCACCGAGGTCCAATAGTTGGAAACTATTGACCGGTCAAATAGTTCAACGCTTGCCATTTGAAAAATAGTGAAAATATTTTGTACTTATTTTATATAGAAAATGATAACTGGGGTATAATAAAGCAAAATATATATCTATGAATATTAAATATCTTCCAAAAGAGGAGTGGTATGTGAAAAAGTTGTATTTACAAAGTGAACCCTATAAGCAATAGGTCAGCTATATTGGTGTATGGAATGATTCCGGAGCACCTGAGATCACCCCCAGTTTTTGGTGGGGTTCGTGTTGCTCCGTCTTTAGTTTTCTATGTTGTGTACTATTGTTTGTCTGTTGGTCTTTAGCCATGGCGTTGTCAGTTTGTTTTCGACTTATGAGTTTGAATGTCCCTTTGGTATCTTTAGCCTCTCTTGTAAGGTGTACATTCCAGATTGGCAGGTTTGATCTTACCTTGACTTCATTTTCATGGTTCACTAATCAATGTTCATAAGCGGTCATCTCAATACCAGAATCTATGACAATGGAGACAATTTTGATTTTGAAATTATAAATTTCCCCAACCTTAGCAGCAATATACCTGGATATGGGATATAAATTTCCCAACTCATTCGGTATTCAAGAGCTGCAGCTGCAACTAAGACTTAACAAAACGTCACCAGTGTCTGAGAAGAAAGATGATGAACCAGGGTTATGTCAAAGAACGTCTCGTCCTTTTTCTAAAAA